TATTCAGCAGTGGATTAAAAATGATAATGATAAAGGTTACGTAATTGCCTTCTTTCACAGAATAAAGCTTTAACTTTTCGTGCGGGATGAACCCACGGGTGATTCAATTACTGCATTTTGATGTCTGTTGTCTACCGTACTAGCATGCATGGAACATGAGCCTTGTCTGAACGAAATTCGTGTTGTTAAGATCCCGCTTGCCAAGCGTTTCAGAAACTGTATCAACAACCTCACTAAGTGGATTCAACATGTTACTTATAGGGACTTAGATGGGAACTGCACCGTCTTTTTGCTTCTAGTGACCCAGGGTGTTAGTAATACAGGTCACAGAGCTCCATCTTATTGTAGATCTGCAGTAAATATATACAAAACCGCATTGCTGTGTTAAGCTAAAAGTTGTTCGAAACCTCAGGTACAAAACCTTTGGTGATTTTAGTCTAGAACTGCCACTGTACAATTCATGATAATGAGATCATGTGGATGATAATAATAACTTTGTTAGATATAAAATATTTTTTTTGACATGGGAAATATCTGTACATGAGGTAGAGTAAAGTTGAGTAAAGCGCAAGCATATCCATTGATCGAAGAATCGCGTAATGTTTCTACGTTGTAATGTGATTCTAAGGTATTTTCTTGTTTTAACCAAATGACTTTATGAGGCAATTTTTGCTTTTTTATTGTTTTTGTTTTAAATCATCTTTAGCATCTTTGCAAACTTGTAGGAATCAAAAATTGTGATTTCCGCTCATCTTCACTTACCTCATTTTGCGTTGACCTCATATACAACAAATCTTCGCTTAGTTTCCTCTGCCATACGAAGTTTTGGCCACCGATCTTCCGCTTGCGATGTCTGAGTTCCCAAGTCAACCAAGCCAGTAGGGCTTCATCTCTTCGTTACAGAAGATTGGGCCACGCCATCCATCTATCTCTTAGCACATTCAAGATAGTCCAGATGATGAAAATTACCATGCTGTCTTAAACAGCGGTCTGTTGATGACGTTTCAGCATTTGCTGTGAACATTCAACCACTGCATTAAAACATTCTTCCATATTTTAAGGTTTTACCTCACAAAACTGTATAGTTCGCGCCAAACCTGTTAATAACTTTTGTAATCACATGTTACGTGGTTGAGAATATGAGAGTTTTCTTCCTTCCTTAGAGGTGTGCGATCCACAGGATCTGCTTCACTTTAAATTATGAACAGCCTTTAAAAATTACACCAAGGGTGGAAAGCTACTTGTCCAAAATCTGGGACGAGCATTCTTCTAATTTGGAAGAAAAACCGAAAGAGTCTACTCAAGACGATCAGTTTGAGCGAATACAGATATTTTCCATCGGAAGAGCTAAAGAAATACGACTTCATGACTATCCAAAACGTTTACTCGTGAGCAAGGTATCTTGAATTCCTCTACGCATACAATCGTAGAACAGCAAAATACTATTTCTATAATTCTTAGCACTGAATCTGTAAAGCAGCCAAAGATATGGAAAACATTCTTGACATTTTCGACTGATACTTGTTCATAATTAACAGAGATCATCAATATTTAGTCTCGATGGCAACATTCGTTTGTCTCATGCACTTTGTCGCTTCAGGCCTCCATGTATCTCTTTTGGCTCCTCGTCCATTTTGTGTTGAGGTTTTTCACTTGGGTACCAATCCGTCATACGGTGTAACTTGCCCATTCAAAAAGCTGATACGTTTCAGGGCATTTTCATATTTTTTCATTTTGCAGTTTGTCTCTCACGGAAATCCCTAGCCTCCTTTTTTCTATAACCCGCTGCTGCAGTCTTAACAAATGTTCATCTTTTTTCATTCATCTTCTCAAATCTCAAAATCTTTTAGAGCTGTTGGTTATATCGGCTTTTCATTCAACGTAGTTCTTAGAGCAGATGATAAATTTCTCTAATGAGAGATTTTAAAGAGCTCTGGATCATGGTGAAAAACAATTAAACAATTATGTTTTGCTAAAACATTTCTTTGCGGTTAATAAAATTAGCTCTGTAATTTCGTAATGTCATGAGGGTGCTTTTTCCTTGTTAACAGTAGTAACGATTCCGTAGCTAATAAGCCGTTTTGACTCCAAATGGCAGAGCATGAAGGCAATTTATTGTTTAGTCATCGTCATCGAAGGATGTGAGAGAAAGCGAAGCTTGGATAACGTACCTTCCATCTTTAGTGATGTGTTAACGGCTCTATGCTAAAAATAAACTGAGCTTCGCATTTACATGGTGGAGAGTAGGAAAGAAGCACACGAACACCGGGATCGATCGTACTAAGGAGAAAAACGGTGGAGTTTTGAGTTAGTTCCTTGTAGTCTTCATGGACAGTGTGAGGATGCATAAAAAATCAAGAAATCAACCGCCACTAAAGCCATGATAACCCGGTTTCTAGGTTTCTTTGTACCTTCAAAACAAATCAGCTAATCTGAAGGATTTTTTTCTTTACGAATCCGGAAGCATGTTTATTTCGAACTTATAGCTACTTAACTTAACCTATGCTAAGAAAACTGCTTTTGTAATGTTTACGCGGTTTACAATTCGCCTCAGACATAGTCAATGCTAGTACAGCATTCGCTACTGAGCGCCTTTTGTTTACTGCAAGTTCACGTATAAATCGGAGATTTCTTTCCAACCAGACATAAAGCCTTAGTCTTGGGACAGTTTGAAAAACGATAGCAAAATATGTTCACCGGAAATATCAATATGAGCAATTAGTCTTCATGAGTTGCAGTCCGGTTTTTTTTATAAAGGAAGGCTACCTCAGTTATGCAGAGCCGTAAAACAGCTATAAAATTGTCATATTTTCGTAGTGGTGATTTTCGAATGTTTGTTGAAGCAGCCGAAGGGTTGCATACCTTCGTTTACGATCTCTTGATGTGAAAGACCATTTCCTAATGTAATTTTAGTACACAAAACGTTGCAGTGAACTGAATTTTAATATATTATTGCTGAATACTACTTTTCTTTAAGATAATAATGATTGAGGCAGGATGGTGAACTAGCCGATTTTTCCGTTTCAGGTTTATTAAGGAAAATAGGGGAACTCGTTCCCATGCTTTTCTCTAGCAACAACTTTTCGGGAGCGCAAAATGTTTCTGCTAGATATGGTCAGGGTGATGTCAGATCAATCGCCAACATGGATTTCTCTGTTTTCTCGTGTCGCTGATTGTGCTAAAAATTTTTAGACGTAATAAACAAGTAAATTTCGATTAGTAACCCAATGCAGTACTTTTGTAGGTACTATTCCGAGTGATCGAAATGGAATAGACCAAAAATTAGCTAGGAAAGAGGGATCTTCCTCATCGCTTTTTGCTAAAACCTAGGAGCCGGTTGTTTCCAGGTGCATAAGCCGCTTGAAACTGATTTGGTTCTACCCTGTCGTCATGTAAATTGGTCTTTGTGCTTCCATCAAGAAGTGGTTTTATGAGGCAGCTTAGTCGGGAGCCTCAAAAAAATGGCTGATTAACTTAACTGGTGCACTGGATGCTTGTGAAAGACAAGAATTCGCAGAAACGAAGAGTCAGACCATCAGACAGCCGAAGCGTGTCTTTTCATGAAGACTCGAAGATGTCATGCTGCTCAAGAGAGTGTATGGGAGATGTGAGAGCGAGAGCGAGGATGGTAACAACGGTGGACGTGATTAAGGACGTTGTTAGCGAGAAAATGATGGCCGTCAGGTCAGCGTGACACTTTCATCATACAACGCAAACGGTGGCTCTCTATAAGCTGTGTACTACTGTGCTATTAAAAACGGACATAAATGTTGTAAATTATGTTATATAAAAGATACTTCAATGAAGACATTGATTGTTGACCGGTGACAGAATCAGTGGCGGCTGAAAGGAGGGGGGTCCGAACGAAGGACTACGGAACCTCGCTATCTCTCGGTTGGCTTTCGTGATGTTGTCGGTGCTCGGGTGGTCCAATCGCAAGAGGCGGTTGTGCTTGATGTTCCGCGATAGTATCGGTGGCGGCTGTCCGGACTGGCTTCTTGGTCGGTCGTCCGTCGGTCGGTCGGTCGGATGGTCGGTCGGTCGGCAGCCGGGCAGCTTGTTTTGGCGCGTTGAGGCGGGGCTGGCCTCGGACACCTTCGGAGCCAATGGCTGAAGGGTACGGCGATGATCGGGTGGCGCACGAATCGCCTTCTGACCCACATCCGATGGCGACTTTTTACGTAACGTGTTTTGGCCGTGAATTAATAACGCCTTGGTGTCGGTGTGACACGCGATGGCGACGACGACGACGACTACTGCGGCGGCGTTTCGTCGTTGTCGCCGCCGCCTTCGAGGAGGACGAAAAAAGGCGACCGATTTTCGACCAGACCCGGTGCTTTTTCCGTTGACTCGGATGGAAGCGACTCTCGGTCCGGTTCGGTGTCGGACGGAAGACGGTCGCTGTCCCGTCGGTGCAGGTAGCCGGTGGTCAGCGAGCGACCTTTGACACGGCGCAGGCGGACAGACAGACGCTTACCTGCGGTTCGCTTCGCTTCGAGTTCACTTTTCCGACCGATCACTGACCGGTCGCGCACAGTCGCCACAGGACAATTATCCACTTAGCTGCGACATTAACACCTGCCGCACAAAGCTGGGTCTGATACCGGCGTTCGGATCGGACGCCGAGACGCCAATCGTCCGCCACGTCCTTGGATATGATCCATCGGTGTCCATGTCAGGTTCGCCGCCGGTCAGTAAGTGGTCAGTG